GTGGTCCTCACCCCCTCACCCCCCCCCCCGCGCTCGCTGCGGCGGGGAGGCGGTTGTGGGGAAGTTAAGGTCCACACATCTTAAAGTTCTCAAGGATGAGAAACACTGATTTAGAGTGCTGAAAAGATGCTTGCAAACAAAACCAGGAACAGATTATAGGAGGGAACAACTATGATTTCAAGATTTTTCTGACACTGAAAACAAATTCTTGTACTCAAAATGGAATCAGAGGCACCCTGGTCTTTAATTCTGAGATTATAGTGGCATAATATGCCTGACCAAGTCAGTTACTCTCTCAGAGAAAATTTTTGCCACCGTGAGTTGGCACTACGCTCTCAGACACCCCATTCAAACAAGGGGCAGTTTTCCATCATCCGCAGTAGTGCCTGGGACGCTGTATCTTCTGGCCGCTTTTCGCTGCAGTCCCAGATCTGCAGAGGCCTGACTGGGATCAGTGCCCCTGCAGACAGAACTGGGGAAAACTTACCAACCCTATTTCTTTCATCCCATTTTCCTCTGCTCCATTCCCACGGAGGAGTTTGTGTTGTGCAAAAAGGAATGGAGAGACCTAGATCACAGTAGTCCTGTTTTTGCAGGGCCATTCCAGGTCAATCTCTGCACTGGCAGCAGGAAGAAATTAATCCGCTGTTAATACTCTTGCCCCAGTTTGCTCGGCATAACAAGCAGGCTGACTGGCTGATAACCTTGTAGAATCCCGGAGCTGTTCAGGGCTAAAACTAATCCTATCTTCACACTAGTTCTGATTTAGTTCTGTGGTTGTGTGGCGCAGGTTATCTGATGGACAGCTGTAAGAGCACAGCCTTACTATAACATGGTGGGCCCTGAGGATCTAGTAAAAATCAAAGTGGATCTCTGAATAGAAGATCTTGGGGGAACTCAGGAAAAAAGAAAGAAAGAAAATCCTGGAGTTTGTCCCTCATCACTGTATAATCAGTGTAGACAAGGGGTGAGTAAAAAGTAGACTAGGTTCTATTGTTCCACTACTGGATGGGTTTGAATAGGGGTCTCCAATTGCTACCTAAGGAGCAAAAAACAACCCTGTTCATCCAAATTCCCATGATACATTTATTGCAGAGGTAGAGAATCAGCAGCCCTTTGAAAGTTGTTCAGCTACAACTCCCAGCAACCCCACACATCGTGAGAGATTCTGAATGTTGTAGGACAGTAATATCTGGAAGGCTGCAGGCTCCCCACTTCTGCTTTATTGTGATGGAAGACTTGAGCGAGGAGGTCCAAGGTCAAAGGGAGGGGGAGAAGAATCCCAAGCATCTCCTCAGCCCGCAGCCTGAGCGTGTGAAAACTAAGAGGGTGAGACTGGCACCGCCCTAAGGAATTCGGAGTGTTTAGTTGCGGTCGCTGGGGGTTAGAGTTAGTCTGGCGAGATTCTGTCTAGTAGGTGTAAGCTAATAAAGTAACTGAACTGTTCCTGAATCGTCCTGCTGAGTTTCTTGGGCTGAACCTGACATTTATTAGGCCAACTGAAAATTTCCAAAATACTTTGCAAGTTTCCAAGATTCTTCATTGGGCAACATAATTAAAAATCCAGAAAAAAAGGATAAGAGAGGGAAAAAACTAGGCTTGTGTTTAAAACATGCACGTGTCAGGTTCCTGACTGTTTCACCAAAGCAATTGTAAAAAAATCATTTTCCTTTCCTTTCAAAATTAATTTTGGATCTGTTATTTCTACAACAGGGTGAGTATTGTTTTGGAACCAGGAGTCACTTTTTTTTTTTTTTTACATCAGTTTGGCTGCGGGCATTTCAGCTCTTTTGTTTCTTACAAGTTTGGAGGTTTTTACAAAAAAAATAGCTGTGTCAGACCTTTAGGAAACTATGTTAAAAGCAAACTTGGGAAGCTCCAGAAGTTGCAAAAAAAAATAGCTGGACAGGGTGTGGATTGCCTATCACTGCACTACATGAACGCCAAGGTCAGTCCAGCATATGATTCTACATTCACTGAATTAAACTGATCAATCCTCCAAGCCATCATTTGGAAAAAGAGGTAGAATACAAAATAAGTAAATAAAATAAATTAATTTTATACCAAGCTCTACTTAGCTGAAAGCAAGTTTTAGTAAATAAAAAGACAATTGAATACGCTTGAAATATTCCCCCACATACTGAACTCAGAATAAGCAACTTATCAGAGATTTTGTAAGACATTTGGTAGAGATTTTTAAAATTCCACATACTTTTTAATATTTGATTCACTGCTCCAATTTTAGTGTTTTTCTCTTTTCTTTTTCATTCTTTTAGGACAGGGTTTGGGCAGTTCCCTGTAGATCTCTGATGTTTTCATAGTAGTTAACTTTTAGTAACTTTTCTTAAAAATACATTATTAAGTCATTCCTACTATCTGCTGCAATGGGGCTGGATAAAATGTTGCCATGTTGTAACATTAATAAACAATTCTTTCATATAATGGTAAAAACTAGATTCCTGACCCTTTTCATTACTGAGTTCTGTATGCTTTAATTACAGCTGTCTTTATTTTGAATGCTATACCGGATGCATGTTTAACGTTCATTTTATTCTGATGCATTTTATATTTTGAATAAAGTTATGCATTCCAAATTAAAAGCTCAGGCTGACTTAGAAATATTCTGGGATAGAAGCTTTTGCATGGTTTATAATATCTTTCCTGTGCTTAAACTGTATTTTAACGTTTTATTCTTTTATCATTTTTCACCCTTTAATGGCCAAGTAACCCGCTTACCGAACTTTGATTACCGAGCAGATCAGGAACACGGTGGTTTTCATCATTAACTTTCATCATTAGGGAACTTAGCAGAACTTACTGCTGAATAGCCGAGGGCAGGATTGAACTTTAAGCTATTTCCTTCAGCGCGCTCTTATTTCCTGATCCATGATCCCAGGTCAGAGTTCCTGAATTTCTCTTGGGGGGGGGCTTTCAAATCACACCGCAGTCACAGAAAAATCGCCCCTACGCCGAAAAAGGCACAAAATCTGGCTGCAGCCCGTCTACCCAGGGGTGCCCCCCACCCCCCGCTTCAGGGACTCCCGCATGCAGGGTTGCAGCCGAGCACCTTGGCAGCGAAGCGCCGCCGTCGGGAGCGGCTGGACGGACTACAACTCCTATCCTGCCCAGCCAGCCCCTCTTCCCCGGGAACCCTTCCCGCCTGCCCAGCCCGGGATTCCGCTCCCGGCTGGGACTCACCTTCCCTCTGCAGCCTTTGCATTGCGCCTCTCCGCCGCCGCGTCCCAACTTTCAGGAATCGGTGACCCCCTCCATGGCACCCGGGATGGAGACGCATACAAAGGGCAGTTTCTCACCGAGGGGAAGGACCCGAGCAGGACAGGAAGGAGGCGGCGACCCTTCCCACCCATTTCC